TAGTAAAATCTATATAAATAAAGACTGGATTTCGGACATACAAAATACCATTGCAGCTACTGTTCTATCAAGACAGCCTTCCCAGATAACACTACACAACGATAACTTGTAAGCACGCGATGATTGGTCAAAATAACTATGTTGGTGTCCACACTACAACGAAAATGATAAAGTCGCACGATAACGATAAATTTTTTGACCAATCAGCGCGCGTATACAAGTTATCGTATCGTTATCGTTGTGTACTGTGACCGGGCCGATACAGATGATGGTCAATTATAGTTTGATACTGAAGTATATTGTTTATTGCTACTTACAATGGAACCCTGCGTTCGAGATTTTAAAACAATGAGGGGTGCTTACAGTAGTATATTTAGGTCTAGAATACCTGTAGAATACATTTTCTGAATAAAAGACTTTGATCAATTCCCCATCCATAAATTCACCTGAGCTAATCTTTTCCGCATTCTGCAAGGGCAAAAAAATTATTTCAAACAAATTTTTCGTGTGCTGAATAACATATTTCGCGGTGAACAATCGACACTTATTTAATTACTGAAACCAAACAATAGCGACGGCAACATGTTTTCGGCGGTTGAGGGATAATTTTAAACATGCATACTGCTTCACGAGGTCACAGTTACAATAGAAGTGAGTCATCACCATAAAGTTTACCAAAGTATCAAAAAGAAAACAACCAGGACTGGTTTTCTCCAAAGCTGGATTAAGGCTAACTCTGATGGGTTAAAACGTAACCCGCTGCTTTGGTTTGGGTACGTTCTCCCATTTGCTTAATTCAGGACTTTAGAAAAAACTATTCTGTTGATCCAGGAAAGACCTCGGAAAAGATATCTCCAAGTTTATAAACAAGTTGTTGGGAAGATTGCTTTGAAGTTTTTCGTTAACACAAGATTAAACCGTAACCGGCTTTCGAAGTCGGTCAATTTTGTGCAACCACTGCTATAGTGTCCTGTGACGTATAGATGGGTTTCACTCAAGCCTTATACATAGGGAAACGCTTGGTGGTCAACATTACACATATTGCCGCTTTATTACTTGTGTAAGCAAGTAAATTTCATTAAATTGCATATATTTGATACCAAACACAAGATCAATACTTATATAATGAATATTTAACTCGATCCGATAAATGTGTTTCCATTTGGAGTAACCACCAAGCGCTAAACGTATCACGTGACTGAATTACTGAAACCCAGCTATAGTCAGAAGCGGCAGGAACACTGGGGATATTAATGATGTTTGGGGCTATTATAGGTACTGTAACGTTGTTGTTCTAGTTGACACGCTGTATTTGAAAGCAAAGCGAGAGTATATGAAGGATTTTGTGCGTGTTTTACACATTAGAGACCCTACGATTTTAGGACGGCAACGCGACGGCAACGGCTACCAATACAATAGATCATTGAAAAGAATTGAGTAATTACAATATATGAATAATCTTCGCTCTGAATGTCTTCGCTCAGTTTACAACGCCAAATCACAAATTTTCACGTCTTGATACAACGGCTGCATTCTAAGCCACAACAAGTGCAACTTCAAACTGGGTTTAGCAGAACTCTTCCCAACCATAAAACCCATGTCTTCAGCTTCTAAAACTGTATTAAATTCATACGATTGATAATATACGACGAATTATCTTTACTATCACTTATTTGAAGGAGTTTGTTTTAGCCGTCGCTGTCGCGTTGCCGTCCTAAAATCGTAAGGTCTCTATTATAACTGCATGCCACGCGATTTCCGGCCACCAGGCAGTCACCAAACATCGATTTAATTTGTCTGCGCATGCACGATATTGGCGAAAAAAGACGACGGCAACAAAATAGACTAGATTAAAAACTATATTTGCAAGTGTGCCGCAGAATGTTAAAAATTTAGAATGTCCGTTACTAATATACTGTAAAGGAATTGAGGTACGTTTGGTAGTAAATTGCTAGTCTCTAAAATTTTTACAACTATAACAAAACACCAAAAAGGTATTAAATACATAATAATAAAGCTTGCGTGTATATAATTTGATATAATTTTGAACCCCCAATATTACCCCTCAAGTGAACTATGTTGCCCATTCCCCCAGTGAAGGTCCCCCTTGTCTTAATTATAAGCAATCAAAGGCCATTGAGGCCGACTCACGTACGGATAAGATCAAATGAAAGTGACAGAAAGAATTAGAGCAGATTGCAGTTGTTTTTGCAAACCGGGCATGCACCGTGGGAAGGTGAGCCGATATAAAAAAGCCGATTTCCGATACCGATTGTTGAGGAGCTGATACATACCAACCATCGGCCAATTGATCGGCAAAACCGATGATCATTTTATCTGACGCTAAACGGTTTTCTGGAGTTCTCGTCTTTGTCTAAATTCTCGCTTGTTTCGCAACGAAAGAATAACGATTTTTTCTATTTTAACCCGAACAAAACTGAAAATTGACATGCAGGTAAATTTTTATTCTTTCTTGAATAGATATGCAAAGAGGAAAATTAAAATGATTTTACTATAACATGACCATGTGTAATATACAATGTCAATGAATGTGAGATACTTTTAGAATTATGAGAAGCCATGAGGCATGTCACACGAAAGCTAGACATACACCGCTGACTGATGCGATAGGGAAAAACAATCGGCCGATATCAGAAATTGTGTCTAAAAATGCCGAAAATCAAGCCCTAGAGGCTGAAAATTACAAGAATATTCGGGGGAGGGGAGGGGGGGGGGCTGGCCCCCAGACTTCATAAAAAATCTCACTTTCAGCACTACCTCCTAGTTCTGACAAATTCTTAAAAGAGGATCTGAACTGCCAAATTAAGACACGTGTCTCAATTTATCACAGTATTTTTAATACTAAAAAATATTTTCATTTCTTTAACATTTGGTAGACAACATATTATTGCGCACTCAAACTTGCTGGAGAAAGCCAATTCCGTGACATTCACGAGTCATATTAGACCAATGAGACACCAGAAAGGGTGAACTTGATATACTGTACAACAATTATATTTAATATATAACTATTGTTGGGTATAAATGACATATTGTTTTGTTTCTTCTCGATATTCTCATGTACCTACCCAATGTGATCTCCATCTGTGCAAGTGATGCTTCTTGCATTGTTGTGGTAAACTCTGAGGTAGATCAGATACAACAGTGCTTGTTATTTTCACGTTTTTGTTCGCCATTGTTCCATCATTTAACAAGCTCATTGGATAATGAAAACAATGTGGATAAAGCAAGTTTGTGGAATGTATCTGCTTCACCCACGAATAGGCGGGTCGCTCACTTCCATTTGGCTTCTCTGTTTGAATCTGTGGGCAAAGATACTGAATTTAACAATTATCATCATGTGAAGTTGTAAAAACAGTGTCGGTGGAGAAAAAGACAAAAATAAGCTCAATATGTTAGCAGCGATTATTAAATGAAGCAGAAATTAGGATGCAAGTGTATTAAAATTTGGATAAAATTAATATATGGAAAGCATTATAATAATGCTTTTGTTTGATGAAAAGTTCATGTAAAACGTCGAGTGACTGTTTTTTGAAGTGATATACCGTAATAGATACGATGTGTACACATGGGTGCCGCCATTTTGTTGCTGCATGTCCTTAGACTTTTCATGATTGCAAAATTATTGTAACAGCTTTAATTGCGACACACTTAACAGTTTTCAGCCACCGTTCAAACGTTTTCAAAAATTTTGCTGCGGAGATTGCGACTGGGCCCCCTGGCCTAGTAGTAGTACAGTATACAGTATGTCCACCACGCATGGTGGTAACTTTCAAAACGTGGTAAATCCAGATCAGAATTCCACAACCTGAAATTGTTTATACATCCAGTTCTTCGCCGCCTCTTAATAAAGTTGCAGCATGAGCGCTTTTCCCGTAAATTAGTTTGTTTTTAAAACCTATCGTATATAAACCGCCAGTTAGATATACACTGTGAGTTACTGAAATAATCATTGATGAAATTCAATGATTAGCTGAAGAAATTTGTGCATAATTGCCATTGGAGCAAGTATGTGGTGATCGATGAACTCCTAATGACTCACAATTTAATTAACTTATGCGTAGTACATAAAGTTTGAATTTCAGCGTGTTACTGAGATCTAATAGGTCAATATAAACACATTAGATTCGGCAAGATATGAAATAATGAAAATTATGAAATACAATCTAAGTGACGGACCATTAGAAAAGTGAT